GACTCAAAACTCAAACTCCGATTTGAATTCTTCTAATATAATTTTCAGTTTTATCTCGCTTTCTGTCCACGTATTTTATTTGGTTCTGGCTGGTTCCAACTTCGTCCATCACACATTTTTGTTTCATATTATTATACCTGTAATTAAATTTTATTTTTTTTTATATAAAGTAATTAAATTAAATTTAAACAATATCCACTAATCACTTAATACAGAAATAATTAGTTGGACGGATCGATTAAATAATAAACTGGCAACCAGAGTTCACAACAGCCTGCAAATTTCTTACTTAACCTGCAAAAAATTTAGCGAAATATGAAACAACCGGAAGCCATCAGCACCAGAACTCTCGTTTTATTGATTACATTTTTCGTTTGCGTTCACAAACAACGACAAACAAGCGCTGAGGTGGTCGCCACCGAAAAAGGAAAATTTCTACAACAACAGCAACAGCAGCAGCTAACAGCGAAACAAAAACACACAACAAAACAGCAAGTATTGCTACAATCACAGCAGCTGCAAATACAGCCACAAAAGTCTTCGACGAGACAGCTACAACCGCAGCTACAGCAACTACTGCCACAGTCACAACAGCCACTACTACAACAACAGCAATCGCAACAACAGCAACTTCAACAAAAGATAAAACCACAAAAAGTTTATCGTGTGCATAAGTATCTTAAAGAGCATCCTTTATATCAACACCAAAGACATCTACAAAAACATCAACAAAAGCAACAACAAAAAGAACAACATCAACAGCTTTATAATGATCTACAACAATTGCAACAACAATACAGCCAATATGAAGAAAAAACAAAACAACTCATTAGCGATTTGCAACAACATCAACAGACTTTTCAACAATTACAACCACAACAACAACAACAACAAAATTTTCCACATCAGCAACAAAAATCTCAGAACTCATCTCTGCATGACACCATAAAATACCTACACTTCGCTAAGCATAACATCACAAATCAATTGCTAAACCAACCGTCACAACATCAACATCAACCTCAATATCAACAACAACAACAACAAGATCAACAGCAGCAACAGCAACAAGATCAACAACCACAACATCAGTTACAACAACACTATAACAGCAAAAAACACAAAATCCCATTTCGAAACAACAAAACAAAACACCCAAGATCTCAAAAAAGAAGGAAACACAAATCAACAACAACAACGACATCAACAACAACATCAACAACAACACCAACAACAACATTATCTTTTTTGTTGCCAACAAAACCAACCACGCCACTACCAACAACGACAACGTCAGAATCACCACCACAACAACAACAACAACAACCACAACACCCAACGTTAAATTGTCCGCCCTGCAACCAAATACACTGCCCCATAAAAAACCCTGCAAATTTAAAATGCAGAGGCGGCCACACAACCGGCGTCTGTGGCTGTTGTCGCGTCTGTTCCAAACTAGCTGGAGAAAGATGTGGCGGAATTTGGAATTACTTGGGTCGTTTATTATTTTTATTATTTGTATTTTTATTTATTATTTTTTTTACTGTCCTTTCTTTAGCATTGAAAACCGAACGCACAGCCCATTGCACGTGATATCTTCGCAGTCGAACCGTAATTGTAATTTCTATAGCAATATTTTTATTTATTTTATGATGATTTTATTCTGCTAATGATAAATACATAGCCTAGAGTTAAGACGTACATGATATATTTGATAAGAATCTTTATGCTTTCGAACTAGGTCTCTGCCCATCAAGTCACTTCTAAATATATATAATTCATAACACTATTTTGAATAAGTAACTGAACAATTGAATGTAGGCTCGTGTGACATTGGTCTGGTATGCTTCAATGAGTCACTCACTAATGACGTAACCTCGTGGAATGATGATGACCCGATGACGTCAGAGGTACAACGTCATAATTATTTGTACACCCACGTGTACAATGACGTCAGTGTCAACAAAGATTACAACAGAATATATGCGGATGGCTATACTGGTAGCAAGAAAAATAGCAACAGAAACACGGCGAACGTAAAAAATGACTTCGATAAATACAGAAATAAAATCGATGGAATGTTCCCTTTATCTCCATCTGAAAATGACGTCACAAAAAGACTTAAATATGAAAAGACTTTTAATAAAAAACAAAATATTGAAAACCGAACCAAATACCGAGCGCACCGATATAAGTATAATCGATTGGATGACGACGATGACGACGAAGAAGATGACGATGATGACGATGACATCGACAACAAAAACAAATACAAAAATAAATACGTCTTCCAAAATTTGATACCGAATGACAACGGTGAACTACCGATATTGAGAACAGAACCGAATCTTACGATATACCGATCGAGTAGTAGCGGTAAATTGACGGCATTTCACAGCACATCGGATGCCTCGAGACCAGAGGGTCACTGCATCCCAGGTTGAAAATTTTGTGCTTGTACCTGTGTGCGTGTTTATGTGGGAGTGTATGTGTTTGTTTGTTTGTATATGTGCTTGCGTGTGCGTGGTGTGTGCGTGTGTGTGCGTGTGTTATTCCGATCGAAACGAAACCGAATCTCCAACCGTGCATCACCGACCGACCAATTAATCACATGAACGCTCGCTTTTCATCGCACCACACACAGTTCATCAACTCGCAGATAGCGCGCACGTTCCCCGCCACAGATGTGCTCCCAGATGTTCTAGAAAGTTCTGCCAAGATCACCCGGAAGATGTCTGCTCGGCCGCGTTAGTTATAATTTTTCTTCAGTGATGTGCTCGTTGAGTAGTGCACTTTTATACTTTTAGAGATGTGCTCGTTCGTGCTAACGATGTTAAATACATAATGATTTATTAAGTTGCCCACAGACAAACACACACACAAACAAACAAACGCATAGAATCAAACACACACACACACACGCACGCACACTTATAAAAATTTGATATGTATTTAGAACTGCAAAGTTTTTTTAGATTTATCGTCGGCATTTGCCGTACTGCTTTCGGTTAAGTTATTGATGTCATCGCTGGTGTCACTGATGTTATTTCTGTAGATGTTGATGTCATTTCTCTCAATTTTGATGCTGTTTGTGATGTTTTTCTAGTTCTTTTGATGTTGATGTTTTTGTTATGGCGGGAATTAAATTGATGTTTGCCATTTTTAGGTGTTAACTTTTTGATTCGCACAAAATTTATCTCCGTTTTTAAAGGTTTACACCAAACACACACGCACACATACATACGCACGCACACACGCGCACACACACATACATCACACATTATGTATTGTCTTCTAGCATCACTAACGTCACATAAATCCTGAAAATGTGCTGCTATCCTTCGATCTGTCATCTCTGATAAGATAAAGAGCTAGCTATAAAGGTAAACAAATAAATAAATAAACAAAAAATATCAATATATCTGATGGGGAACATGTAAATATGTGATAAATATTTCAGTTAATAAATTGCGGAGCGTATAGACAACAGCAAAACAACAAAACAACAAAAAACATCACATGCTAGTAGCGAGGATTAATTCATCATAGCAATAAATTGACTCCAGACAACGAGTTAACACTTTGATTGTGTGAACAAAAAAAAAGCAGAAACATTCATAACATTAGCAACATTGCAACAACAACTACAACAACAACAACATTGTTGCATCAACAACAACAACAACGCAATAACCACATAAAGACACAAAAGACATCTTAACACATGACAAGAAAATTTGATAACAAGAGAGAGAGAGAGAGAGAGAGAGAGAAAGAGAAAGAGAGAGAAAGAGAGAAAGAAAGAGAGAAAGGGAGAGAGAGAGAGATAGTGTGGTGTAAAAATAACATTATTGATTGACGGTAATAAAAACATCTCAAGAACTAGCGAAAAGATAACTAACTAAACTCTGCGTGAAACATCAACTTTAAGATCGTTAGCGGCATCAATAACAATAACATTAATAACATTAATACACATACACGCACACACACTCACACACACTCACACACACACACTCACACACACATATATACATAAGTAAATACATAGCGCGCGTGTGAATTAACGTTGAAACAATCAGCAGATATAATTTCTGCTCCACCTCTCATCGTCATCATCATCATCTTCTTCTTCTTCATCATCATTTTTTTCTTCATCATCATCATCATTTTTTTCTGCTTCTTCTTCTTTTCTTCTTTTTTATCATCGTCATCATCATCATCATCATATTCTTTTTCATCATCATCAACGTCATCATCTTTTTTACATCATCGTCATCATCATCTTCTTCATCGTCATCTTCCTCCTCATCATCGTCCTCATCATTACTATCATCTCTCTCGATATCTGTGCGGGTACAAAAATTAAACCGTTTGAATGAATAGCTAGATGGATGGTTGAGTGGATGGATGGATGAATGAGGAAATGGATGGATGGATGATTTGATGATTATTTAGATGGATGAAAGATTGCAAAACTGGATAAAAAAAATAGATATGTAGATTGTTGAATGAATAGATAAATAGATTGATAGATACATTGACAAATGAATGGATATATAGGTGAAGGAAAAAATGAATAAATTGGTGGATGGATAGATAAATTAATGGATAAATAGATAGATGGATGGATAAATAGATAGATGGATGGATAAATGAATATACGCCTCTTTAATCCAACGTTAACAAAGTAGAATGAAACAGCAGACGTCAACACACAGGTATTGGATAAATATGATACATAGCATACAGTACACACACACACGTACACACATACACACACACAAACACACATACACAGTGCTGTCGAAACACACACACATACACAGTGCTGTCGAGACACACACACACATACACAGTGCTGTCGAAACACACACACATACACAGTGCTGTCGAGACACACACACATACACTGTGCTGTCGAAACACACACACACACACACACACACACACACACATACAATTGTATTTATAAAATGAACGTACACACGCATGCAGTCTTACACTCATTTGCACACATATTTGAAAACACACACATACGTATACACATTTGCCCTCTCTCTCTCTCTCTCTCTCTCTCTCTCTCTCTCTCTCTCTCTCTCTCTCTCTCTTTCTCTCTCTCTCACACACACACACAGAGAGAAAGAGGGAAAGAGAGAGAGACTCAGAGATACTTAACCAAATGAATTTATTAGGGGCATCTCTTTTTATATCAGCTAAAAAGACATTTGTGGGTAGTTAATTGCCATCTCCCCTACTAAACAACTTGTTAAGTTATAAAATGCTCGTGCTACACCATTTATGATTCTACCTCTTTAATTACCCCTCTCCTCCTCCAAACTAACTAGGTCTAATTCTTTTAGTTCTCTTTCTATCACTCTTTCTTCTTCTTCTCTTTCTCCATCTTTCTCTCTCTCTCTCTCTCTCTTTCTCTCTATCTCTCTCTCTCACTCTCTTACTCTTTTATTTCCATGTTTGTTTTTGCTATGTAAAGTTTTTCAATGATATGTTTTTATTTATTTCTCTTTTGCCACTCCGTCTATCTCTGCCTTTTTCTGTCTTTATATCTCTCTTTCTTTTTCATTCTCTCCCTTTGTTTATGTTTGTTTAAGTTGCGTTTAGACTTTATTTACAAATATTTGAGTGTTTGTGGAGAGGTTTTATGTGTTTCTCAGTGTATGAACGTTTGTAATGTTTCAAGTTCTGTGGATCGTATGTATGTACTTTGTTTACGTATATAAGAGTGTGTGTGTGTGTGTACGTGTGTGTGTATGTGTGTGTATGTGCGCAACTATCTTACAGGAAATCCGAGTTAATGAATTCAAACACAAACAAAAAGACAACAACAACAACAACAAAAACATCAACAACAAAAACAACGGTAACAGCAACGACAACATCTTGCAAACACACAACATGCCAAGCCTGCATTCTACTACCTGTAACCACACAATGCGGCTCATGCAGTGGCGACAATGACTTCGCCTGCTACAAACGCTTCGGAAAGTGCATAAGTGAACTAATGTATGAAGCATCTCCAAGAAGATGCAAAAACTACTCTGATAATGACGACGAAGATGAAGTAAGCAACGGCCGTCAATCACGAGATACTAGCAAATACTATAGCGATAAGGTTTGTACAGGGATTGTTATTGGCAAATATTTCCCATTAATTGCGCCGAACTTTTGCCACAGATGAATTGCGTTAGTATAAACACTAATAAGCTTGTAATTTTCTTTAAACTGGCTACACTTTTATTGTATTTATAAGTATATTAGCTAGTATTTTTCTAAAATACACACACACACACACTACACAGTTCGAAAGGAACAAGTACCTATTCAGATGCTGGCTACCTCAAAAATCCATCTAGTGCTAGTCAACTCGATAAAGGATCTACATTTATTTGATATTTTAAACTGTAGTTCTAGATTTTAATTAGTTTTAATTCATTAAATTTTTTTCTCCTCTTAAAACTTCACATCTAGTATTTTACGGTTGTTTTAGACACTTTTATTTGATAGCATTGTCTCGAGATAATTATTGATACCAACTTATATAGAAGAAATCATATTCGCGAACACACACACACAAATACTTTTTTGAGATTTTTAAAACGTTGATAGTTCATTTTATCTGGTATTCTTCAACAATATCTTTTGTATAAATTTACCAGTTATAACAAATGAAACGAATAGGGAAAATTTATTCATAGCAGATTTAAGAAATTATTCAGTAAAATTCGCAAAAAAAACGCAAAGCAAACATAAAAAGGAGAAAAAACTAATACAATCTGAACCATTAATAAAACAACAACAATAACTGCAATAATAACAATTTTTAATTATATGAAACGATTAAATCAAATAAATTAAAAATCTTTCCAAAATGTCCAGCTTCAGAAAAAATATCTGCTAATGTAGGTGCTGTAAAAATCATTATAATTAGTAAATTGCAATAATTAATTATAACAATTGATAATAGAAATAATAACCTCAGAGCTGATGGATAATGAGCCTTCCTCCTAGCACATCTCAACATCACCACCCACATCGTCAGTAATAAGACAAGCGATGATACAATGACCACTATCAATTATGATTATAATTTAATTCTCTTAATTAGTCCTTAAAGATATCGATCGATGATGGCACACCACACACAGAGCAGTATCAACATACAGTACCACAATTGATAACTACGACGTGCTGTCATACTTACTATTTTTCTTAGGGCCCCACGAAGAAGCTTCATCCAATAGCAACGTGCAAATTAGGAACCCCGCATCTATATATTGACGTAATACACACAACGTTAACGTAAATTAATTATATCAATATTCATGGCATTTACGTAACTTTTGCATACTATATAAACATGGCCTTTGCACATCGCATTAACATAATTTATTCATTACATTGACATAAAATAAATAGCATCTCTAACAGATAAGAAACACGATCGGTGTTTCAGCTACAACTTGCTCTCTTCTTCCCGGATGGATAAATTTCTGAAGGGAAAACATTAAATTAAACAAATTGCCTTCAACGTACCAACCAACCAAACCCAACCAACCATATCACTGCCCTCTCCATGTACAAAGGATCGAGCATTCATATGATTCCACATGTGGCCAGATAACATCAGCATGACAAAACACTGAGATGTAGGAGATAAACTGAAAATTAATCTTCGTATAATGCTAATACAATAATTTTTAGTTTCAAATTTCTACCAATCAAGTCAAGCACAAAACTTTAAATAATAAAAGAAATGAAAATGGATTTTCTAACGGCACACATCGAAGGTGATGCGAATGAGACGAAATCGTAAAGTGTACTCCTGTATTTGATCAGAAGTTTTGAAATTATCAGAGAAAAAGCCACCATTATAGCCACGTTTAGATAGTTCCAAGGCCTGTAGATTCTTATCTATCAAAACGAATATTGTTTCTATATACTAAAATTTGTGGCTAAATCTTAAAATTTAACCAAGTTTTAAAGATAATTTCACAATTTAGCGACAATTCAAAATTAAAATTTATTATAAAAATTTATTGATAGAATCAACTATTGCTATCTTTTATATTATCAGCAAACAGCTTGTTTCTTTCGTATTTAAATACACCGTGTGAATTATAATTGTTGATACCTTTGACGCCTATTAATTGTAAAAAAAAAAAATACTAGAAAATATATTAATTACGTGATAAGGCACGTAGGATCTCAAAAGTTTCGCAAGTCTTTCGGGGTTTGTATCGCTAGAAATTAAAATTTGAGAAAAAATTTAAGATAACTTCATTCTAATAACTTTAAAATTTTAAATAAAATTAAACTATATATATCTAAAAAGATTAATTAAATAAATTTAAACAAAAAAAAAACACAAATGTATATTTAAAAAGTAACAATTTAGAGAATCCCATACCTTCTCAGAGAAACTTTTATTGGTGTCAGCCTTTCCTTACTATATACCAGCATATCCGGTACTGAGTTTGCTTTCAACTATGTTAAACAATTTTATATATGGAAAAATCATTTTATTATTATCACAGAAAATTGTTATCCTCTAAAAAAAATATGTAAATGATGTAAATTATTAGTACATACATAAAATAGACTACACGTACACGCAGAGAGAGAAAAAGAGAGAGGAGCGAGAGAGTGAGATAGCTAAAATTTACATATCAGCCAACAGTATTCAAAATAAGGGGATGGCCCAACATACATATTCAAATATTCTTTCCCCTTTTGAATCATAATCTGCATAGGCAAAAAATAAATCAGTGTTAAAATCTGGTGACATCTTCCAGGAGTTTGTCAGTACCAGAAAATCCTCCAGAACTTTCCTTATTCAAAAGAAATACGTTTGTATTTATAGAATTAAATTTGTTACTTTTAAAAACATACAAAAATGAGAAAAAAATCAAGAAACACAGACATATTTCAACTAATTTCATTTAAAATTGAAAGAACAAATACAGTGATATAAATTATATATCATTCTATCTATCTATTTGTCTTTTCATCAATCTATCAGCTATCTATCTTCTATCTATCTATCTATCTATCTATCTATCTATCTATCTATCTATCTATCTATCTATCTATCTATCTATCAACAATGTATCTATCTTTATACACCCTCCTAAAAGTAGTGATACATACCCACAAGTGAAACATCTCCGTTCGGGTCTGACAGCGACCAACAGCATGATGACTGTGTAGTTTTTGCTCTTGGTGACGTAATTTTTGAAAGTGAAATAGTCCAACAAAATGGCGCCATTCCTGGCCGACAGCTGTTTCAACTCTTCGATTCTTCTGTCCGTCTAGTTATTTTTTCATTTTAAAGATCTAATTACGTATTAAAATAATACGAAATTGAAATACCGAAGTTACAAAAATTATTGAAAATAAAAATGATTTGGCCATATTAATTGAATTTTATATAAAATAACTTTATAATTAGTAAATATATATAATTATTAATAAATTATATAATAAATGCAGGTTTACTTGTTTGAATCGAACTTTATTTGACTCAATCGGAGCGAATAAAATGAAAATGAAAAACGAAAACGCGACGCGTGCCGACATTTTTTTTCAAATAAGGTAATTGAAATTTAAATTTGAAAATGGCGGGTTTGAAGCAAAGATAACGTAACCGAAAACTATTTTAATTAAACAAAGATGTGACTGAAACCATTGAGTAATATATTATCATATATATAGAATATATTTATATTCTATATATTTATATCAAAATACGGTTTGAAACGAGCTCGATTAGATCAAACAATTTTATTCAAATATAAAATTTAATGTAAAGAATGTTTATTAAATGAAAATTAAATCAAGCAAGCAACTAACTAAATGATACTAGCACTGCGTAATACTAGATCTCGAAAAAGATTTAAACTGTTCAATTTAACGACAGGTGAAGATGTTTTGAATGTTAAGAGCATTTTAAATAATCTTTAAAATGTATAATAAGAAGTAAAACAATAATAACAATTTCAATAGTAGTGATAATATAAAGGATTTTGCGAGTAAATTTCTAGCTAAAAAAGTTCTATAAAATTTAGATTATGCAGACGTTTTTAATTAAAATTTAAAAATTACTGAAAGACGGATGAAATAATGGGATTGGACGAAACATGCCTATAATAATTCTAAAGTTTAATGCCTATGTAATAATATTCCATTTTATCACAGCAGTCTTCGCAGAACAGTCAGCCATTCCTTCTTAAAATTTTCATTCTTGCACATCCAAATCTGGTGCTCATTCTTGTTGGAAAGGTACAGTCTGAAGCAAGTTTTCAACATAAGTCCTGTTTGTTCATCTTGAAATTGTATTCCATTTCATTATTATTGTAAGTTTGTAAATTAAAAGTATTTTTAGCTGCTAGAGAACTTCAATTGCTGAACAAAATAATGTAAAAGACCCACCTTTTCCATCTAAAACATCGAAGACCGTGATATCTTTCAAGTTGTATCTATTTTTAAACAACAGAATATTTCGCCAGAGCAAATCCTGCGACGTGTATGCGTTGGAATTGAAACAAATATTGAAAGAAATATGTACCACACACACACACACACACACACACACACACACACACACACACACACACACACACACACACACACACACACACACACACACACACACACACACACACACACACACACACATACACACACACACACAAACAAACAAACGAACGAACGAACGAACACACGTACGCATAATTATACATCCTATAATTTATAAATATAACTACTAAATATACATGCTATACTTTTATCTTTCGACTAACTTTTTTGCAGATGACGATTTCTTTGTTGAACAGAAAACAGACTCTCTGATGGCTCCAACCTCTCTCGCTTACTTTGATCAGTTCGCCTGAATGTACCAAATTACTGTTCCTTACAATTACATCGCTGCCCTGTTTGTTGATCAATTTTAATTACGTTTAACAGAAAAAAGTTTCTTTACATTTTCAAAATGTTTCAAATTATATTGCAGCATTAAAAAGGCCTGCCATTCGCTAACATCACATCACATCAAATCACATCATTGGTTGACATCATGTTAGGATACGTTTGCTCGCGATACATTAACGTTAAAATATATCGAAAACTTTTCAAGAATTCTTCAGTGTAATAGGCACCAGTGAAAAATTTGAAACATACATGAAAATGTAAAGAAGATTTTCAAGAACCTGCCAGCCAACAATGTTTTTCTGCCAGTCTCTCAACAATTTTTGGTCATGCTCGGCCTGTCGTTTCATCTCATTAATTGATACAACAATGTTCTTCATGATCTCAATAGCCATCTTCAAATTGTTGTAGTCGTTGTGTTGCTGGCATGTGAATCGCAGCAGTTGCTTCAGCTGCAGGGGGTACTTGCAAATTTTTTGAACAGGCGTCAGAAGGAATCCGTCCAGGTTTATTTCTATCATCGCTCGCTCTTTCCGACATTTCTTTTTTTATATATAAAATTTGTTCGAATTTTTTCATATAATTTATGAAAAAGAAAAATTTAATTTTCTATTTGATCAAAAATTGAATTTATCTTATGTAACATAAAAAGACTATTTGAATTTTGCCAGTAGTACTCTAATGATGAGGCAATGCTAAACTTATTCTCCAACTCAAACGAAACCTGCTCATATATAGTAAAATCTGATGAAACCTGAAACAGTTAACTAAAAACTACCTCAAAAAACTCTTTATAATTTTTAATCTTGTTAAGAGAGGCCAGATGGTGTGAAGATGTTGGGTGGTTGATGCAGTAGGTGGAGTATAACTCGAAGCCATTTTTCTGTTAGCGTACAGAAAAAAGTTAAACATACTCTTACATGATTTAAAAACGTAAATATAATAAAATTTATTTAAAAATAAAATGGAAAATAAAATTTGAAAAAAGATTGCGGACATTTTCGATGAAACATTTTCCGAAGCAAGTGCACTCGACGGAGTTCGTGTCATATCTTTTGAGTAGTTCGTGTAAAAAGTGCTTGGCGAACGTTCTTATTTCCTTAATGTTGCTGAATACTCCCTCTACGTCCTCTTCCGTGAATAATTTCCTGTTTTCCAAACATTTCATCATGAATCCCTGAAAGACAATTTGAATATGCATTAAATTTATTTTTGCGAAAAACTAAAAAAAATCAATTTTTACTGTAGCATCATCACAACCTCGACGATGTCATCCAGGTGTTTGACGTAATCATTTTCTGCCTTGATGACGTCAATGATCACGTGTCTTCTATGCGTGTCACATGACAGCGAGGATGAAGATATGGAAGATGACGACGACGACGACAACAACGTCGTTGAGTTTCTGTGTGACGCACTATCGCCATCCCCATCTATCGATTTACAATCGCGTTGTTCCATGGCTCTCTCTGATTTCAATTTTCCATATAGGGCAGCATGTTCGTTCGTCAGTAGCTGAATAAATTTTTTTTTGAAAATTTTATTAACTTGCATAAAATTAACATAATTTATGAACATCAGAGCGCCATAGAATAAATAATACAGCTCTTAATAATTCAATAGCACAATAGTTTTAATTTTTTGAAAATATCATTAGGCCCAAAAATTACTACTTATCACTAACTTCGACGTAGAACCTCGGAAACCAGCCTAACTTTTCCTCCCCAAGCCTTCCTTTCCACCACATATTATCGCCACAGCAGACTACCTCAATGACGTCACCAGCATAGAAAGTTAATTCATTCTCACTGAATGTGATGTAATGCCATTTCGCTTCGGCATATTGATTCTTTGGGTATAAAAAAAATAGAAAAGAATTAACTTTTCACATTTAAATTTCACAATACATCAAATCCTTTTTAAAAGTTGCGTATTAACAAAATTTTTATTAATTTTATTTATTACGTTCACGCATAACACACAGCACGAGAATTGTTCGGGTCTCATTTTCTTAATACAACCAATCCAATCTTACCAACTACATCACCACGCAATCCATTTTATTTTTTTTTATTTTATTAGGAAAATAAAATTGCATAAACTGTAATAACTTTGAATGGATTAGTGGTGCAACTCAGTTTGGAAACACGTTCCGTCACATCAGACAGCGGAAAAATAATTTCCGATTTGAATTTCTTAAGAAGATTCTTTTCATTATTTGAAGCCCTGAGCTGTTGAAAAAAAAACACACAAAAAATTCAATGTATAAAAACAGACGAAATCGTTTTGCGAAAAAAAGCAAACTCAAGATTAAATTGAAAAAAAAATTATATGAGAATAATAAAAATAATTTTTGAAATTTCGTGCAATGCATTCACGGTGAGTTGCTCGTTACAAATGTAGGCAGGGATTAAACGGCAATACGATTGTAGAACTTCAATTAAACAACCAATCCAAAGTCATACTAACTCACTCACTTTGCCTTCATTTTCATCATCTTCTTCGCCATCATCATAACTTTTTTATCATCCTCATCAGCATCAACTACAACTACAATGGCTACATCATCATTTTAATCATCTCCGTCTCCATCCCCATCATCATTATCATTTTATCACCATCGTCATCATCGCCTAGTGATGACGTCATCGTCGTCGTTAATGTCACGTGACATTTGTTAAGTTTACGTTAATGAATTTGCTGGTTGTTGTTGATGTTGTTGTTGGTGTTTTAGTGAAAATAATTTCATTTTTTCCCCTTCAAATTTAACTCTCGTGGTATCGTAAGCAATTTATTGTATGAATACTAAATGATTGATTACTGCTATGCCTCTTTCTAAAAATACCCAACACAAAAAAACCCAACTCCAGAAATTCCAAATCCAAAAATTACTCACCCAAAAATGCACACGCACTCCACCAACAAATAAGCCCCACACAAAACAATTACGAACCGCTTGCAGACTTGAGTAGTGTGCACAGCATCTCGAAGGTTTTTTGGAAAAATGACGTTGACGATGATGATGATCGTTATTGTTATCATTATCAGGAGTACATTGTTGATGTTGAAGATGACGTTGTTGTTGTTGATGATGATGGTAATGATGGTAATGTTGATGGTGATGATGCTGATGACGGTTCGTTAACTCAAAACCTTGAATAAATAATGATTGTATAACGTATGAGTCATATCAATCAATATTACATACATCTTTCCATGGACAGCTACAATAAATCATTTGCCAAACACACACACATTCACATACACATACACACAAACACACACACATACACACCGACACTCACATGCAAACAGATAAGCGTATATATGTGGTGCGGGTGCTTATAAATAATTCGAACTTCAGCACACGTGACAAATTTATTAGCTTGAAATGCAAGTGTTGAGTCGTGTGCCTTTGAAACAAGGCAAACGTGACGAACGTGGTTTTATGTAGAGTAGAGTGAGAGAGAAAGAGAGAGAGAGAGAGAGAGAAAGAGGGAGAGAGAGAGAAAGAGAGAGAGGGAGAGAGAGAGGGAGAGAGAGAGAGGGAGAGAGAGAGAGGGAGAGAGAGAGAGGGAGAGAGAGAGAGGGAGTGAAGGAGAAAAAGAGAGAGACTGAGACAGAGGAAGAAAGAGAAAAAAAAAGAGAAAGAAGTTAGAGAGTGTTTCTCTTGAAAGATTCATTAACACATCTGAAAATTGGCCAATTCGTTTTCCCATCCCATTTTCTTGTTTCTGGCGGAGTTTTTTGCCTTGCCTTTCATATTTTTCTTCGTTCTGTTTGTTATTTAACATTTTCTTACTGTTCGTTTTCAAACAATCGATCTATCAGTCATTTTCTGAATGATGAATTTGTTTGTTGGTTCATTCATTTTGTTTTTTTTCTCTTTCTTTTATTAAAGTATTTTTTCTTTCGTTCATTTAATCGTATCATTCATTTATTCATTTATTCATTCATTCATTCATTCATTCATTCATTCATTCATTCATTCATTCATTCATTCATTCATTCGTTCGTTCGTTCGCTCGATCGTTCGTTCGTTCATTCGTTCGTTCGTCCGTTCGTTCGTTCATTCATTCATCTGTTCTTTCGTTTTTCATACATTCGATACTATTCTTTTTTCCATTGCTCTCTGATCTGACCATCAATCTTTCCATCATTCTATAATTAACTCATCTTTACCATTAAATCTTCCGTCCATAACAAATCTCATCATTCATTCATTCATTCATTCATTCATTCATTCATTCATTTGCTCGTTCCTTTGTTCTGTCGTTCGTTCGTTCATTCATTCATTTAATCAGTCATCTATCAACATTCTTCCAGTCAAAACATTATGTCTTTTGATGTTAGTTTTTAGTTAGAATGTAACCAATCATTAATTAATTAACTCACCAAAAGAACCGGCCCTAATGTTTCTCAGAACTTTATTGCGCTCTTTATATTCGCAGATATCATTACTATTACTACTGTTATTATTAATATTATTATTAGTATTGTTGTTGTTGTTACTTTTGTTGTTGTTTATGTTGATCAAACGCGCGCTAAATAAATTTTTCAACAGTTTTGGTAACGCTTTGAGGGAAGAAGATGACGATGATGACGTCATGATGTCTTTACGGCCGTCTTGAGAATTCTCCCTCATTCTTTTCTCTACTCTCTTCTTCTTCTCCTCCTTCTTCTTCTTCTTATTGTTATTATTATTATTGTTTTTGTTATTATTGTTATTGCTATTATTTTTAGTATGGCAGACCACGTTTCTGTCATCAGTATCAATGAAATCGTCATCGTCGTCGTCAAAATACTTCATGTCATCGTCATTGCGGCCATTACCATCATCATCATCATCATCATCATCATCATCATCATCATCATCATCATCATCGTTTACGTCATCCTCGTCATCATCATCATCATCATCATCATCATCCTTGCCAACGTCATTGTTGTTGTTAGTTTGGCTGTGATTATTATTTGTCGTACTATTACATTTTTTATTAATTCTACTTTTGCGAGTTGTGTTATTATTATTATTATTGTTGTTGTTGTTATTATTGATGTTATTGCTGCTGTTTTTATTTTTGATAGATTGGTAGTTAGGCTCCGAGCTAACGTGCCTTAGAGGATATGACGTCAGCGGAGATGGCCTTGATGATGATCCTGACGTCATCATTGACAACTGCGATGACGTCACGGACGATGATGATAACGATATGTCCTCGTCGCTTGAGAAGAACGCTATTGGTGGACTGAACGGGCGAGAGTCATCGTTATCATAACTCGCTGGCCAATAGGAGTTGATTAATTTTTTGTATTTGTTGAAGTTGATGTGGCGCGGGAAAGTGTGGCTGTCGTAGAGGCTGTCACTTGATTGGTTGAAAAAGTAGTTGCTATATTTAGAAGATGACGTAGGGAGGCTATTATTAGCCCTGTTGCTCGCCTGTGATTGGCTGTCTGCAGTGGCGGTAAGTATAGGAGCTGTCGTTACTGCCATCTGCGAACAAAAGTGTCAATTAATTATGTTTGCATTGTCTATTTACACAAAAACATCATCAGCAAGGTTATGCTATTTATCACCATCATCATCACCATCATCATCATACTCATCATCACCATTATCATCATCATACTCATCGTCACCATCTTCACCAACGTCATCATCATCCCCATCAACTAAACTGACGCCTTTTTCGTCAGACAGCCTCACAGAATTCTCCCGCCCATTCATCATCATCGTCATCATCATCATCTTTTTCTTGAATCTAGGAGACGCAAAAATGTTCTTAAAAAGGCGTTCCCTTTTTTTGTTGTTGTTGTTGTTACTATTATTATTATTATTATTATTGTTGTTGGTGTTGTTGGTGTTGTTGTTATTATTGTTGTTGTTATTGTTTTTGTTGTTTTTTTCTTTGTACGTCTGCATGTATTTTTCGTTAGCGGTCTGCCTTCGCCTACCTATTTTTCTAAAATAAAAAATGTCGGAAGGGAAGAAGTTGCCTCGAAGTGGATTTGAATCAGGTACCGAACGGGTCATCATCTTAGAAGTTCTAGGATCATTATTATTATTATTATTATTGTTGTTGTTGTGGTTGTCGTTGTTGTTCTCAGTTTTACGATCTTGCGGCGGGATAGGTTCAGTGCCCTTTGATGTAGTAATAGTAGTAAAAGTAGTAGTAGTAGTAGCAGTAGTAGTAGTAGTAGTAGTAGTAGTAGTAGTAGTAGCAGCAGTAATAGTAGTAGTAGCAGCAGTAGTAGTAGTAGCGTCGCCAAACGTACAACCATCATGTTTATCTTTATTATCATTATCACGTTTAGCAACAAAAGCAACATTACCAACACCACCACCACCATGATCACCATCATCATTGGCGAGACCATTTTTCTCATCGGTGACGTCATCATCACCCTTTCTTTCACCATTTCCGCCATCATTATCATCACTTCTACTCTCATCATCATCATCATCGTCGTCGTCTGGTGACATAGTTAATGGCTTGGCAAAACATGAATAATTTTTTTTGACGGAAGAGTCGGTGAGTGTTTTGAGATGTTTGACGCTGCGCGCTGCTGTTACGGTGGCTGGTGGCTGGCTGTGGTGTGGCCATGGCGTGTTTGCGTTACGTTTGTCGCTTGTTTGTGGTGTGTTCTTTCTGACTTGGGATGATGTAGGTGGTGATGATAATGTGAGTTTTTGTTGCGATAAGAAGAGCAATGGTGATGATGTTGTTGTTGTTGATGATGTTGTTGATAATGATGATGATGATGTTGTTGTTGTTGATGATGACGATGTTGATAATGATGATGTTGTTGTTGTTGTTGCTGATGATGATGTTGTTGATAATGATGTTGTTGTTGAAGATGATGTTGATAATGATGACGATGATGTCGCGACTATCGGTGATGATGATGATGCTAGGAGATGTGATGATGATGACGACGACGATGATGAATAAACTATCGGGAAAAAGTGTAATGATGATATATCTTCATGACAAATTGTATGATGATGATGACGTTGAAAATGGGCCTGAGGATGATGATGATGACCATAGTGGTTTTGATAGTGATGATGAAACTCATTGTTGTTGTTGTTGTTGGAATGATTATCACATTTTTTCCAACTTGTGAGTTTATGAAATTTTCCCAAGCCACTTGCGGCCTCAGGCTTTTTCCGACCAACACCAAGCGCGTAAAAATCATCATCATCATCATCATGAAAATCATTATCACCATGACCTTTGACCTCATCATCATCATGATTATCATCATCGTTAAGATCGTTATCATCAACGCGTTTCTCTTTTTTTTCATAATTTTTGGTTGCTGTATCACATTTTTTATTACAGAACGTTAAATTGTTTTCACCGCTTTTGCAAATTTCGTAAACAAAAACCTCATCGTCGTCGTCGTCGTCGCCATCATAAATTTTGACGTCATCATCGTCATTGTAACGGGTGAAGTTGTTGCAGTTGTTGTTGCAGTTGTTGTTGTTGCAGTTGTTGTTGTTGCAGTTGTTGTTGTTGCAGTTGTTGTTGTTGCAGTTGTTGTTGTTGCAGTTGTTGTTGTTGCAGTTGTTGTTGCAATTGTTGTTGCAGTTGTTGTTGCAGTTTTTGTTATAGTTGTTGTTGCTGATGTTGTTGTTGTACGATCGACCTTCTAACTGCCTAGCCAGATATGTTGGACAGGTGGCTTCAAATTCAAAAATTGTTGTCGTCTGCGGTGTTGCTGGTGATGATGGATACAAGTTGAAATCTGAATCAAATGTTGCCAACATTAAAAATTTTGTTGGCGTTTTTGTAGTAGTAGCAGTCGTAATAGCAGCAGTAGTAGCAGCAACAATGGTAGTAGTTGCAGCTGATAAGAAAGCTGCTGATGTTGCTGATACTGATGAAGATGATAAAATTGATGCTGATAATGATGATGATAATGAAACGGTAGTTGATGGTGATGATGTTGATGGAGGTAATAGTAACGATAACAGCGTTAGTATTTCGTCAATTTTATGGCATGCATTAAACTGCGGTTGCTGTTGTTGCTTCAACTGCTGCTGCTCCACAGAATCATTACTAGTACCATCCTCTGGAAGTTTCTCTGCCCGATTGCCGCGTAGGCATTTCATCACGTGACCCGTCTCCACCATGACGTCATCAATTGTTTTTAGTGGGCACGTTTCGTCTAAACTATTGTCATTCGCGTCATTATCGTCGTCATTATTCTCGCCACTCTTATAATTATAATAATTATTATTATTGTTATTATTATTATCATTATTATTATTATTGTTGTTGTTATTTGGATCACCACCATCACCAGCATCATCATCATCATCATCATCATCGTTATCATCATCATTACCACCATCGGTGCGTTGTTTATTGCACTTGTCGGAACCCTTTTCAAGTATCTTACTTCTGTGTCTCGTCATTTCAACATCTTCATCATCATCATTATTATCATCATCATTATTATTATTATTATTATTATTATTATTGTTATTATTATCATCATCATCGTAATCATCACCGTTATAATTATTTACATCAGTTATATTATCATTCAGGCGATTGTTGCTATTATTATTATTATTATTATTGTTATTACTATTATTATTATTATTATTATTGTTATTATTATTATTATTATTATTGTTATTATTATTATTATTGTCCGAGCAATCAATTAAGCACGTGGGCTGAAATGCGTTGCTCACAATCTTAATGC